TCTCTGGATTCTACCTATGCCTAGCACAGAGTAGATTGGCATACAATAAATAGTCATTGAAAAATGAATAAATAAGCATTTGAATAAAATAAATGACAATGGAGAAGCATGACTATTTAAATCATCAAAATGGCTTAGCTGGTGTGGCTCAGTGATTCGGTGTCAACCTGTGAACCAGGAGGTCATGGTGCAATTCTCCATCAGGGTGCATGGCTGAATTGCAGACTCAATCTCCAGTAGGGGGCATGCAGGAGGTAGCTGATCAATGATTCTCTCTCATCATTGATGTTTCTATCTCTCTCTCTCCCTTCCTTTCAGGAATCAATAAAAAAGAAATTTAAAAAATCATCAAAATGAGTCCAGATTTTTTCTAAGTGTAATGGGAAATCAAGATTGGTTATAAACTGGTTACCAAGATATCATACATATTTTGATAAGAAAATTCTGAAAACTATATGAAAAGATGTTTGGGACAGGCAAGAATGGAAGTAGGGGCACATTAGAAGACTATAGCAGTGGTCCACATCAGAAGGGGGGAAGTTATATATATATAGAAGAGAATGTTTGTGTTGATCCAAAGATCACCAACATCAAAGTGTGGGGGAAGGGAAAGAGGTACCAAGACTTGCTCTAATCCTGATGCGTAAATGAATAGGTGCTGGAGCATTCAACTAAATTAGAAAGGCAGTGGAACAATAAGGCTACCTGGAGAAATAAAAAGATATAATTTTTAGATGTGTATGAGTCTTTTCTTTGTTGCTGTGAAGGGTGGTAAAAAATCAGGAAGTAGTTAATAGAGATGTGGGACCAATGGAGGTTATGTTGACAAACAGAATCTCTTAAATTCACCTACTGATAAAATTTACTTGTTTGTTTGTTTTTAAACATCCACATTAATTTCACCTTTCCTAGAGATTTTGAAAAGCTAGCCTGTGATAGACCTGGATAGTTGTTCATTTAATATCCTTGTTATTTTTATCACCAGGAAAATTTGAGAAACAATGCAATAGAATATATTTCTATGATAATGAACCTTTAGAAAGGAAGAAATAGGATATGTAGGAGAGAAAGAGAATGAGAGAGAGAGGATTTGCCTCTGACAAGTAGAAGGACACTTCCTCTCTTCTAATTAGAGATAAGAAGAACAAGATGTGTGAACCATAGGCACCACTAAGTTTCTATTTAGCTGCTAGAATTTCCCATTTGATAGCTTATATTTTCTCAATAAATTATGTGGCAAGGGCATCACTTGGAAATTAAAGGTGAAAGGCAATTAATTCAATCAATTATAAAAAAGGATGAAATAATCATTGTCAAAAGTGGAAAACCAAATTTTCTACAATGAAAGATTTATTGATGTATGGTAATTTGAAGTTGTTGTTAATAAATTCATAATGACACAATCTTCCCTGTTTCATATTTCAACTAGAGGCCCACTACACAAATTCATGCACCAGTCAGGTCCTTCGGCCTGGCCTGCGGGATCGGGCCGAAACCAGCTCTCTGACATCCCCCGAGGGGTCCTGGATTGCAAGAGGGTGAAGGCCAGGCCCAGGGACCCCACTGGTGCATGATTGGAGCTGGGGAGGGACACAGGAGGTTGGCCAGCTGGGGAGGGTCCACGGGAGGGCTCTAGGGCATGTCCAGGCCATCTTGCTTAGTCCTGATCAGCCTGACCCCAGAGCAAACTAACCAACCAGTCAGAGCATTTGACCCCTGGTGGTCAGTGTACGTCATAGCTACTGCTCGACCAGTTGACTGTCTGCCCCCTGTTGATCAGTGCACATCATAGTGAGCGGTTGAGTGGCCTTAACATATTATGCTTTGATTGGTTGAACGGACGACCGGATGACCAGCCACTTAGCATATTAGGCTTTTATTATATAGGATAGTAATAAGTACACATATAAAAACAATTTCCAAAAATTTTGTATTTAGTAAATTGAAAAAGATGGTACTTTCTAGAAAAATACTTATTTTCCCTAAAATTGCATTTGTTGCTACAAAATACATTAATTTATTCAGGTTTTAAAGATTATATATTAGGAGAAAATATATTCAACACTAGAGGCCCGGTGCACAAAAATTTGTGCACTCGGGGGGGAAGGGGGGGTCCCTCAGCCCGGCCTGTGCCCTCTCGCAGTCTGGGATCCCTCAGGAGATAACGACCTGCTGGCTTAGGCCTGCTCCTGGGTGGCAGAGGGCAGGCCCAATCCCTAGGTGCAGCCCCTGGTCGGGCTCAGAGCAGGGCTGATTGGGGAGTTGGGGCGCCGCACCCTGTCATGCACAGAGCAGGACGGATTGGGAGGTTGTGATGCCACCCTCAGTCACGCTCAGGGTAGGGCTGATTGGGGGGTTGGGGCACCGCCCCCTATCACACTCAAGGCAGGGTCAATGGGGAGGTTGCGGCGCCACCCCCTGTGATGCACAGAGCAGGGCCAATCAGGGGGTTGGGGCGCTGCCCCCTGTCACTCACAGAGCAGGGCCAATCAGGGGGTTGGGACACTGCCCCCACCCACCTGTCACGCACAGAGCAGGGCCCATCAGGGGGTTGGGGAGCTCCCCCCTGTCATGCACAGAGTAGGGCCAATAGGGGAGTTAGGGCACCGCCCCCTGTCACACACACAGCAGGGCAGATCAGGGGTGGGGCACCGCCCTCTATCACCCACAGAGCAGGGCCGATCAGGCGGCTCCGCTGATCCCGGTGCCTGGAGGCATATTACCCTTTTACTATATAGCATAGAGGCCTGGGGGCCGGCTGGTTTTCCCTGAAGGGTGTCCTAGATCAGGGTGGGGTCCCCACTGGGGGCCTGGCCAGCCTGGATGAGGGGATGATGGCTGTTTGCAGCTGGTCACACACCCTTCAGGGGGGGGTCCCACTGGGTGCCTGGCCAGCCTGGATGAGGGGATGATGGCTGTTTGCAGCTGGTCACACACCCTTCAGGGTGGGGGGTCCCCACTGGGTGCCTGGCCAGCCTGGGTGAGGGGCTGAGGGCTGCTTTCAGGCTGACTGAAGCTCCCAACCACTCCTTTTTTTCTTTTTTTTTTTTTCTTCTGGGCCAGCTTTAGCTCTGGCTCTAGCTCTGAGGCTTCCGCTGCTGGTTTGTTTGCCGTTCTATAATCGAAACAATGTATAACTTCAGCTCTGAGATCCCAGCCGGCTATATTTGTTAGAATGTTTCAAACTGCCAGCTCAGGCGGGGAACGTTGGAGTCTGCAGTCACTGGAGCAAGGAAGCCTCATGTTCGCTTCCAGCTGCCTGGCTGCCGGCCGCCATCTTGGCTGACAGTTAATTTGCATAAGGATACGCTGATTAGCCAATGGGAAGGGTAGCGGTCGTACGCCAATTACCATTTTTCTCTTTTATTAGTGTAGATATTTCAATAAGAATGAAAAGGTGAATTTAAGAACCTTGTTAAAATTTGGATGCTAGGACATATTCTGACATACTATGATCTGATATTGAGACAATTTTCCCCCTAATTGGAGTTAAATATCCCTAGATCATAGAATATGGGTAAGTCTTTATATTGCTAATACCACCCTGTGGAAATACTTTTGAATGTCTTTTTTATTATATGGAAAGAATTGAAAAGATGTTCTTTTTCGCTATGATTGCTATTGAGTGAAGATCAAAAGAAATGACTTCAGGGTACAAAATGAGGACCATATGGCCCAGGAAAGGACAAGTTTGTTATCCTGTTAGTTGTTAGATTGTCAGGTAGATTTCCAAGAGTCTGTGTAGTTTCACTCTGTGAAACTTAGAACAGAGATTCATCCTTACAGGTTTAGCTGTAGGTAGTTTTACCTATTTAAGAAATTGCATTTAGTTCAGTGACCCCTAAATGTTATTTCCAATAAATAATGTATAATTTTTATATACTGATATTAAGACTTTGGTTCAGATTCCTCTTATTCATCTTATTTGAACACAATGTAATAATGGGATCATGAATATTCAATATAATTATACCTATTCAGGTAAAAAATCATGTATTCTATTAAAAAGTACTTTAGTAAATGCTCTATCAGTATGCAAGTCATAGCTGTCAATGACTGTCAGTAAAAAGACACTTCTTTTCTTCTCATATGGCCCCTGACATAATTTATCCTGCCTTACTCATTTCTTCTATTGCACTTTGTAGGGACACTTTAGTTTACATTCTTCAAAACCATTAAGAGAATGGAGGAATAAACATGAAATCTAATGGACATTGTGCATTCTGGATTGCTTGTATATATGTGATGCATTGATGTTGTGTTGCTGTCTTGCAACATTGCCATTATTTTACTCTTAGTTTTATCCTTGACAGAACCTAAAAATGTAATTGGCACACAATATGGGTTGAATCAGTGGTTCCCAAACTTATTTGGCCTACCGCCCCCTTTCCAGAAAAAATATTACTCAGCCCCTGGAAATTAATTTTTTTTAAATTTTAATAGCAGTTACTTATCGCCCCCAAATGCAGCTGTGGCCATCACCGCCCCCCTGGATCGCTGCAGAGCTCACCGGGGGCGGTAGCGCCCACTTTGGGAATCACTGGGTTGAATAAATAGTGGCTTAATTAAGGGGGTATTGCATTCTGCTACCCAATGTAATGTTTTAGAAGCATTTTTATTATTTTTGTAGCTTTACTTTAAATGCAGAATAAATCAGGACTTCACTAGAATTCCTTACCACTCCAGGACATTTTTTTCCTGTTTAAATAGTTGAGAGTGAAAAGAAGCTATGTGTCCTATTCTCCAAAGACTTAAGCCTGAATGTAAATTCACTTCTAGTGAAGATGAAAATTAAAAATAACAAGGAATTTCATCTTTATCATTAAATTGCGTGAGATTTCTTCCTGACCAATTTAAAAGGAGAAAAAAAATGTGTCTCTTCAGTCTTGAGGAATATAAGTATCAAAGGATGCAGGTGAGGAAGTGGGAGATAGAACTTAACAACTGGAGATAGAAAATACATTCTTTGGAGCGAGTGCACTATGCAAGCTATGCGTCACCTTGCTGCTGCACTGGTGATGATCTTCAGGCTGCCTGGGTTCCGGATGAGCTTGTCCAGAATGCTGACAATCTGCTCAAACTTGGGTCTGTTGTTTCTGTCTTTCTGCCAGCAGTCCAGCATCAGCTGATACAACGCAGCCGGGCAGTCCATGGGGGGTGGCAGTCGATAGCCCTCGTCCACAGCTTTAATTACCTGGGCAAGAAGCAAAGTTTCCGGAGACTTAAGAGATGGGGCTTCCTACTTCTTTATGGGAGGAACACACTAATATGAGTATTTTAAAGTTAAGTGAAAAAGTTCTCATTTTAAATCGCTTAAAAAATAATAGCTTATCAAATAAATATTATTTAAGCCCAAAATGTTATCTAAAGGAAGATCAAGAGAGAGAGAGAGAGAGAGTAAATTTAGAAGAGTTTGTAAAGATTTAATCTGAAAAGTTTATCAACTTTTCAGATTAAAACTTAAAAATAATTCTATAACAAAGGAAATTCAGTGAATTATAAAGAAACTTTTGTTTGGTAATATAAATTTCTATGGAAACTATATATGAATGAATGCAGAAAAAAAACCAAACCCCACAGTTTACAGGTTTTTTTTATACCACATCTCAAATGGTACCTTTCAAATCTAGGTCAGGTCCTTTGGTAAAAGCTCATGAGTTGCACAGTTAAGTAACTATCAGCTTATTAGTATTTTTAAATGACATAAAACAGTGATTTTAAACTTTACATGTATGAGTCATCTGGAGAACTTAATAATATACAGATGACTAACCTCTGATTGCATCACTCTGGGGTGAGGCCTGAGAACATGCATTACTGCAAATTCCCAGGCCATGCTAAACCCGCTGGTCCAGAGGCCACATTTTGGGGGGCTCTGATACAGAGAAAACTTGGAAAATAGAGATGTGGAAAAGGGAGTCTGACTTCCCCATTATTGTTATAAAAAATAGCTTGTTTGAAGACGTACAAAAAGGTTTTCATATCCAAACACATTAAAAGCAGTTTTATATGTGGTGAGTAGGAAATGACTAAAAGCATCTCAGCTTTCCGGCTTGTGCATTTTGAGATCACGCTCACAGTTTCTGGCTGAGCATAAAGAAAAACCTCCGAGTGCCGATCCCACATGCCAAGAGCATCCTTTTACTAAGCATGAGCAAACATGACTTTATAAAAACAAAAATCCTTTTGAAAAATCATATCACAGTTATAACAGAGAGTTAAAGATTATTTTTTTTCATCCAGAGACTTCAATTTGTATAATGAAATTCATGTGCAACATTAATACATAATGAGGAACAACATGCTACAGATTGATTGTTTTGTCTGACTTCGGGAAATACTATATTTAAATAAACAAAATGTTGGCATAGATGCATTAATTAAATCTACAAAGGCTGGCAGACATGTGTATCTTACTAATGTTACCTAGAAACAATTGTGTAGCAAAAATATTTCAAACACTCCCTGGCATATACTGGTTATCTTGATAGTCACTTATTTCATTACATTTAATACAAATGCCTTCATTTTTGCCTCAATTCTAAACCCCTGCTTGAGGGAAAACTGTAAACCCTTAAGAGCAGTTCAATTACTATTCTAGCAAGATTTGAAAACAATTTCATTGTTTAAGTATTCTATTTCAATGTCACAAACTGGGAGCCACCTGGTTTCCTTAGGCTCCACTTCCTTGCATAGCTTGATCTTTTAATCTGACTCCATAACACATGGATTACATATACTTACATCCTGATTGGACATCTCCCAGTATGGCCTCTCTCCATAGGACATCACCTCCCAGAGAACAATGCCATAACTCCATACATCGCTGGCTGACGTGAATTTGCGATAGGCTATAGCTTCTGGTGATGTCCACCGGATGGGAATCTTTCCTCCCTTTGAATATAAAAGCACATGGACACACATGATCAATGCCTAAGGCACATACATTATAATCTGAAATCTGACTGAACTTGTCAGGGTATTTCTCTTTTGAAATGGGACATGGGTTTCCGTTTATGTATCTTGATATTCTTCTATATTAATGTCAAACAGGACTGCGTGGCATACTATTTACTGCAGTGAATTTACTGCAAGTTAATCAATTTGCTTCCAATTGATTTAAAAGAATTTTAATATAAAAAGAAAAATTGAAAATTGCTTAAACACTGACATTTCATATCAACTGTGGTATCTTAGTCATCTGTAACAAAGCAACTTGATGTGTATGTGCAATACTATTAAGTTAGAATAGAACGAGGAATCTCAAATCAACCTTTATTGATTTAATTAGATTTATGTTCTATCTACAATCTTAGTTCATAATGTGAATAAGTTAGTATTCCTTGACACTTATAGGTATTTTTTAACTAAGTAAATTAAAAATAAATTTTTTCATCTACCAACTCTCTTTAATACAATATTTGATTATCTTAATTTATTCAGTGCCTCACTTCATCATTATTTTTTAGTTTTTAAATTTTATTTATCTTTATTGTTGAGAGTATTACAGATGTTCCCCATTTTCCCCCATTGACCCACTTTCATATACTAGGTAGGTACAATATAAACAAGAAAGATAAGATAACTACCTTCCCAGAACTTCCTAGAGAAGGATATTGGTTCTATGAGTTATAGTATATATAAAGGTATGCCTCCTATGGAATTATCTCTCAGATTAATAAATACATTTAATAAAGATGTGCCAAGTAGCAACCATATGGGAAGTATTATGCTAGTCACTTTGGGTGAGACAAATATAAATAATATGCTTGCCCTCCTACTTGGAAAATATCAGGCAAACATGGGTAAGTCTTAGTTGTTGTGCATAATTAAATGCAGAAAAAATAATTATCTTATCAAAGAGATAAATTTTGCTTCAAACTTTACAACGTATAGGAATCGTCCGCGGCTTGCCCTCACGCCAGGGGAAATCCTGATTCAGCAGTTTCAGAGCATGGGCAGGGCCTGAGTTTCTAAGAGGCTCCAGGGGATGCTGACCATGCTGGTCATGAAACCCACTTTAAGCAGAAAGGGGGTAGGGGAGACACACTGCTGAGCAGGGAGCCCCAATGATCACTAGAGAGACTGAGGAGGGAGCTCATGCATAAATGGAGCTTTAAAAGATGTATCCAATTGTTGATTCAATAAGAAAAAATAATGGATGTTCCAAAGAATTTACAGAATCAAAATATGAAGCTATATTCAGCAAAATGTGCTCCACTGACATTGCATCTCATAGCACTTCGCTGGGTCTGAAGTAATGCTCAAGGGGGACAATGTATTGCTTTTGAGAAACAGATGGGAAACAGGAGGTGCATTATTTAACCTCAATAGGCCCGGGTTTCCTCATCTGTTACTTGGGAACGTAAGAGTACCGATGCATAGCTTTGTTGTTGGGCTAAATGACAAGTGTCAGTAAAATCTTCAGCAAAGTCCCTGGCACGTGGTAAAGCTTCAAGAAACATTAGCTTACTACTCCCACACTCTGTGGGAAATGGCAGACATCAAAGCACAGAGGAAGAACATATATGTTCTGGAAGAACAGTTTCTGGTGTAAAAACACAACAGATTATGTGGAGAAATATAATGAGAGAGGATGAGAAAAGGGTTAAATCAGAACTTACTCAGGGGTATACTGAGTTTTATCCCGTAGAGGAGAAAGGTATACATAGTTTTAAGGACCTTAGAAAACTTGACCCTTCTTGACATTTTCACTCAAGTGAGCTGTGCAGAGAGAGTACTGCCAGAAGAGCTTCGAGAGAGGTAGGGCTTTGAAAACTGCATGAAACTGTAGACAAGGGAGCACAGAGAAGGGGCCTGCACACAGCCTTCTTATGATGCCTCCAGCCTAAGGGTAGTCGATGACTTATATTGGTGAAGAAAAATAAATCAATTGGAGAGAGGGGAGCCAGTTTAAGAAAGCCTTGGGAGTTAGTGGGAGATACTACAGTGCTCAGCATGCACTATGCTGATGCAGAACCATAACAACAATGGAAAATGTTTGCAGTCATGTAGATGAGATGGCATGTTGTCTTAGGAGTTTCCCCTTTCTTTACTTTCTCACACACTCACATTCACTCCTTCACTCTTTACTTTACAGTGTGTCATTTTTTCAGCAAAAATTTGAAAGGTCTTTTTTCGTACTTAAATTCAGAGGGTCTAGTGTCAAACTAATATTGCCCTTTTCTCTGTCAATGCATTCAAACTTAAAAATAATATTTAACCCCCCCAAATTAACATATTTGCACCTGCCTAGATGAAGTTTGGGTTTTTAAGAGTCAAGATTTCAAATAATAGCTCTAAAGTTTGATGAAAACAGAATTATACATGTGACAATTAGCAAAATCTATTCAAGATGCCAAAGAGAACCATTGGACACACTTTATCTCTCTTAAAGAATTCCGGGAATTAATGTAAGTCAAACAAAGCTATATTCATAATCCAAAAGCAAAGATACTATTTTAAAATCCCAGCTAACTATCTTATGTCTGCTACCAACACCTTGCTATTTCCTCTCCTTTGCCCAGAACAAAATTACTAATTATGTGAATCTGCCATAGGCTCTAACTTCTGTTGATGTCCACTGGATGGAAACTTTCCTCCTTTTGAATATAAAATCACGGGACACACATGATCAATGCATAAGATATATAATATACATTATCATCTGAAATCTAACTGAATTTGTCAGGGTATTTTGTGTGCCACAAAAACCGCACTCACCAAAAAATGAAAAGAAAATTCTTTCCATGATGAAAATGTTGTGTTTACTTAGAAAATACAAGGCACCGATGCATGTCACCTTACTAAGATTAAGATCTCTTGTTGAAATTAAAACAGATTAATGACAACCATGAACTTACTGCATGTTACTTCAACCAGGATTAAAATGGTGCCTGCCAAAGTTGAGTTGTTTCATCTTAAGTGATTCATCACTATTTTTTCAGAAAGGGGAGCAGTGAACATATTTTAATGAAGTTCCTTAAAAGAGTGAATACTAAAAAGTGATTTATTTTTATTTATTTATTTATTTTATTTATTACTTTTTTTTTTAAGAAGGACATAGCCAAGCTTGTGTTTAAGCTTGGAAGGAGAATCTTTTCATGTGCTGTTTTGTATCCAGACATGCATGCTGTTGGATGGATCTCTGTGGCTACAGCCAAGCCCATCTCTTCAGTGGGGGCTGTGCTCTCCACAATCCCATAAGCTTGACTGCAACCCTTGCAGTGTATTCTCTAATGTATTACATGGTTACAGATTCAAGCAAGTTATTTCCAGAATGATTTTCCAATCAAGTGCTGTCTATTTGCTTTCACTGTATAAATCTTATTAAAATATTAGAACCTACACAAATAGAAAATGTGTTTTTGAAAAAAATGCATAAAGAATTATTTTAATAAAAATGCTTACATTTTGAATTCTGCTCTTGTGCTAATATGTGCCTGCCAAACACACACACACACACACACACACACACACACACACACACATTTGTTAGAGTAACTAATTCAACTTTTAAATATAAAAATATTTTGTTAACAGTGGCTGATCAAATAATCCATACACTACCTTTAACTTGGGTTGCACTAATTCTTAACAAAATATTCTGGCCGTCCGCTCACTGTGCTGCATTGGGAAAGTATGTTGGCCACATTGCACAGTGGTCACCCATGAAAGGACAAAGGCCTCTCACTGCAATATTTGCTAACTTTGGACATGCAGGTTATGGCCTCTTTACTTGTTTGTCGTTCAGGTTTTTAATCTAAGCTTTCCTCTGGCTCCAAACTATATTACAGCTCAAGTAGCCGCTCTTATGGAAAAGCATAAAGGAGATCACTTGAAGTTTTTCATTTTATTTCGAACATGTTATTCTAAACACAAGAAAAGTAAATAAGTGGCATTCAGTTATTTCAAAAATTAAATCAGTTAGCAAAGTTATATGTTTCCTTAACTTATCCAAAAGTTTCCATTAGTTAACCTTTTAGTGTATTAGTTGTTTTTTTTTCCTTATGGCTGAGCTCTGTTCCATGTCACTGTTTAGTTAGTCCATATACTTAAAAGTTAATATATTTATATTAATAACAAATAGAATAAGCTTAATTCATATTTTTCTTTATTATACCTGTACAACTCATTCTGAATAAACAACTGGGGCTAATTTGAACTTTTTATTTAGAAGAAAGTGTGAATGAATAAATATTGTTCGCCTTTGCTTAATGCCATGTTGAAGCCGGTAGTTAGCTTTGAACCCTAGAATTTTAACCCTTGGACACTTAGCTTTTTTATTAGAAAACTTTCATTATCTGTGTCCAGGTAGTGTTTTAGACTGATTATTTTTGCTCTCACATTGACGTGATAATCATGGATTGAATATTCTCATCTTGACCCTACCCAGCCATCTGGTAAATGGTGCCATCCACCACCGAGGGAATCAGGAAAAGAACAAAGTTGATTGAATATTGTATTCATTATTATTTAGAAACATTCTTATCATTAGCAATGAATTTATGATATACATAAAGAAACTAATAGTGTATCTAATCTTTAATAGAGTACTCAATAAATGTTTGCCATTCTTCCTTTCTAATTGTCTTCCATTGGTTAACACACCCTTACTATTGATATAGAGAATTTATTAAATGAAGATAGAAGGGAAAGCTTATTGTCAACTTCAAAACACTATTCAAATTTAGCATCTGTTACTAAAAATAAATCAAATTAAGAGGAATATTATAATTTTTAAAAATTTTCTATGATTGGTAAAACATGTCAAGTAACTCTGACTTTAAATGAGAGAAACATAAACCATAATTGTACACACTTAATATAAAATCAAGCTACAGGAGAGATTCCAACATAGCAAATCATTATAGAGTTTGAGGAAGGGTAAATGT